TGGTTATTAATAATGAAATTGGAAGGTCCATATATATTTCGTAAAATTCACGTTTTATCAAAATAAAATCAAAAGCAAAAATAAAAAGAGAAAATCCTGACAGAGATCACTGGAGTTTGTGCTAACTTTTAGATAGCTATTTCAATCGTATTAATAGGGCTTTTTGTTTAAGAGAAATTCTTGATTAAAAAAAAGACAATTTTAGCCTCAAAACGCTGATATTACGTCACTCGTGTTACACTGTGACCACAAACTTTGAAAAATTGTTTGGCTTGCTAGACCTTATCTTTAAGTTAATAGGAAATTTCATTAGCTGCATTAGTTTTGGAGTTTTTCGTTAATATCCAAGATCCCTTAATATGGAGATATCCATCTCTCTCTTCACTGGCCACACTGATGGGTTTGAAATGACCAGGTGTGTCTGCAACTTTGCCAATCAACATTGGGACAGGAAGACTCACTTTTAGTTAACAGTGCCAAATATTCTCACGGCATGTCAACTAAGTGTGTTCCCGTGCGACTTTTATCACAAACATTTTTTTAAAAATCACTGCATTGCACTTTAGTCATGTTTTAAATGATTTTATAAAAGTTTTATGTGTAATGTATGTTTAAATCTTATTTTTCACCTCTATGAGACAGCTTATAAATTAATTAATTAATTAATTAATTTTTTAATTAATTAATTAATTAATTAATTAATTAACCAGTCTAGCATTACTTACATCCCTCCTCTCAATAGCCTCGTGTAGCAGTCTCACGATGTCCTCTCCCTCCACTCCGCTGACCTTGAACCCCTTCGTCCACTGTGACAGACGGGCCCTGGCCAGACCCTCCTGTTTACACGGGAATGAAAATGTGAACCCCAGGGGCAGCTTCTGGTCAGCTATACCCTCCTCATGCATGAACTTGGAGATACACTCTGCTATGTGGTCAAAGAGCTGGAATTATATGAAACCAAAATGTAACTATGTAAAAATGTAATAATGGGTGTATTCAGAACTTGTTGTTCCGTGAACTAACTAGTCTGCAGATCAAATATGACACCACCCACTTGAAAGTGTGCTGAGATTCAATTGCTCTACCCCTGCTGGGACAGCGTGCTTTGAAGGCTGGAATCCATTGTCAAGTGCACACCATATTTGATCCACTGATTTCTTGCAGCCTATCCTAGTATCTTGACAATTGTGTCTTATTGAGAGCTATAATTGTAATCTTAAGCAGGACACACTTATAATATAATTCTTCATCATACTAGTAAATACTTTGACCCTAAGCCATGACCATCCTAGTCTTTTTGTCTATGACTTCTACAGAAAACCTACATGGCATCCAGTGCCTCCCAGTACATTTGGTTATATTTGCTATGGTTTCTGATTAGGATTACTGCAAATAAGGGCGCAATCATTTCTAACTGCATATTCATTGTAACAAATAAAATTGATGGTGATCACCATGCAGTAAACTGGGATAGAATCATTTAAAACATTTTAATATGAAGTGGACATTTACAAATAGAATCTGAGACTCAAGGCACTTCATCCATCTGTTGTGGTATGCTGAATGGCCATATTCCACCACTAATGCTGCTGTTTAAGTGCTAAAAATACCAAACTAATGAAACAAGGTGCGGCAAGACTAACATATGCCCCATTGTGAGGCAATGTCACCAGTCAGAGACATCTCACTTAACCTCTTAACTTCCCAGACAGACAATTTGTTTATAATTATCCTGTAAACTACCAAAAGAGCGAAGACATGGTTTTTAAAAAAATTTAAGAGGCCATTTTACATTAAAACAAGATTAATTTTCTCAAAATATATGCATATGAATATATCGTTAAATGGAAGGATAGACAGAAACCATCTTTTTGTCAAAATGGAAAGATAGATAGATAGATAGCATCTTTCTTTCAAAGAAATATATATATACTAGTATCCTGTTTCATTTTAAGAATGTTTCTTAAAATCTTGTAAAGGACATTCATGTACGCTGAAAGACCTGTGTCCCAGTAATAAAGTGTGGTTGTGGTTTTCTAGTTGAATCATCAATTCCTGATGACTTCTAATCTCAATACAGCAACACCCACTCGTACCTTTAGCTCTGCAAACAACCCTGTTCAATATATAACACATTCATATTTTATATACTTGATATTGTTGCTGTTATCATCTGATATAGTTAATCAACTGATATCGTTAATATATATTTACCTTCTTTTGTGTGTGATTTAATAGAAACAGTTCAGCAAATGTCTCGATTTCATCAGTGTAAAATTAAATACGGTTTTAATGTTTTTGTGGAAACTGTACATGTGACTACATTCCAATATGGTCCACAAGTAAACTATCTTTTCCTTTCCATGGATCAACATTAACTTTTATGACCATAAATTTGACCTGTCCAAATTTAAATCCAACCTGTCCAACAAAACCAATAATTTTTTTTCATTCATACCTGTCAGTGAACTTAGTAAACTAATGTGTAATCAAGAATGTATGTTTGTCCAAAATGGCCAAAATTGGCTCAAAAAATGTTCAAACTGAACTTTGACCTGTCCCAGACAGTCCGACAGTAGTTAATGTTATTCAACATGCTCCATTCACACCCAACACATTTAAAGTCACACCTAACACAATTGCACATCAAAAGCAGTTCAATTTTCAATAACAGAAAATGCACTATTCACAAAAAGACAAAGATGCATCATCTTCTAGTGGGAAATCTTCCTATAAAATGCATCTGCTCTTGTTCAGAAATGATTGCATATGATTAAACGTCTATGCAGTTAACATTTGTATTTTGTGATAATTCTGATTTATAAATAATTCAAACCCCTGTATCAAGCCTGGGTAAGTGGGTTAATTAAATTTTGTTAATAAGACATACAGAAAAATGTGTAACATTAGGATGCAAAATATGCAGTATATGTCAGCAGTGGCATCAGGATAAGTTAAATATGTAATAGCCAAACTGGATAACAAACTGGAGTATATTCAGAACATAGCCAAACGATGTCCTCATTAGCCCTAGGTACATTTTTCTCAACATTGTTGACCTTGTAACAGCTCTAACCTTGACCAGTCTCTCCGTAAGCAAAACAGACATCAAAATTCCCCTCACAAGACAAAAAGCAATTCTTTTAAAATCCACAATGATTACCCATTATTGCCTAAAATATTTGATGAATCAGACAGCAGTTGCATAGGTTCCAAGTACATTTTCACTATAAATTTCTATGAAAGGTGTGTCAGGGGCTTGGCACCTCAGCTCACTGCTGATTGGTCAATTCTGTTCCTGTGGTTTTGAACGTCTGCCATGTATTGAATTCGAGCCAAGTTTAGAAAGGTTAGAATGAGATATGTCCGCAGCAGCTTTGGAATGAATGATCACCATCTTTATATATTCTCTCTCACAAAGGTCACATCATACCTTCGTCAATTCATCAAAAGATTATTAAACAAAGTTAACATGTTAAGAATTTTTTCCACTTATTACAACATGTACTTATTTTATTCTTGGACTTTCTGTATTATAGGTATAGTGAAAATCTGGAGGATTATTGATAGCAGACACACTAAATAACCAATGCCATCCTCTCCAGATGGCATCTTGCCAAGACAGAAAAGTAATCGATCCACAGCGCTATGGTTTTATCTGCAGCAGCATGGTTATTCATTACAGCGTGGGAAGACAGCAACATTAACCTGTGCAGCTGAATACACCACAAAACGGACAGCAATAAATCCTATCATCAATAGTCTTATTTTGGGGGTAAAATGGCCAAAAAAACATTCACATGACCTTTTTCATGTTTCATTTGGATGAGCTGTGATAATAAATGTGATGGGTCGCAGACAGGAAACAGAGTGACACAATACCTGACCTAGACTCAACACCACATGTGCACACCAGCATGTATTGAACACACTGAAGGAATGTCTTTCAGCCAATCAGAGGCCAGGATTCTGACACACCCCTCTAGTAACAGCATCTAACAAACACATCCAAACATTCCACTTAGCTCAATCTGTCCAAATACTGCACTGGCCAAACATTAACAAGGTCAAAGTCCAATATCATATTGATCTGTTGTTTTCATATTACATTATTATGCCTGCATGCTTACTGTAAATATTCGACAAGGTCATTTAAAAGACAACATGCAAAATATCCAGTCATAATATATACAAAGCCCCTGTACTAAACGTGCTTTTGACACCACATTTCACAATAACCAAGCGTGGAATGTTGAAACCACATGCAAATTAAGGTCATTCAGGACACCTGCAAGGGGGCTGATGCAATATTAACCCATCAGGTTCTCCATGTTAAACAGAGATTTAAGAAACAAATGGCAACTGTCTGTGGTGTCTAGACTTCAGGCTAAATATCCTGATCTTATCATGTGTCTCGGCTGCCAAGTCAACCCAGACACACACAAAAAGTGGATTGTATATATATATATATATATATGTGCATAGCCTTCGAACTGCTATACAGGTATTCAATTATGTGTGTACAGTCATAAAACATATATATCAAATATGGGATCATGTAGCTCATTAGAGCTTTTCAGGTCTGATTATTATTATTTTTTCTTTAAACAGTAATAGTTAAACTTTTTAATGCGAGTCAAAAGGTCTGAACTTCACTGGCCCAAAAGGCTCACAATATTTTGCCTATAATCTTAACAATTTAAGCCAGAACAGTAAAAAAAAAAAAAAAACATGTACCTGAGACGAATACATACACCTGCAATAATTTGAGTTTACTACATTTCAATTATTTCTTTCACCTAAACCACCAAAATTCTATTTTTGAAAACTTGCCAATGATTTCCCCAAATATTCTTGTAAACATCTCCACAGCACTCAATTTTAATTCCACCTGATACTACGTAAGCATTATTTGAAAGTACTTGGAAAACACCTTAATCGAGGGGGAAATCACCTCTGTGTGCCAAAAATAAAATGAGAGTGTGGTGAAAATAATTATGCATAATGGTTTTCACTTTCTTTGGTAATACAATGTTGTAAATATCTTGAGAAAAAGGTTTTAATTTAACATAATCAGAGATGCTCACCTCTAGATGGGGGTTGGGGGTGATGGTGGGGTGGGGTTCAAGGGAAGGGAATAAACAACACCCCAAGTTCTAGGAATGGGTTCCCATGCCTAGATCGATCTAACAGGATCGATCCATCTCCGAGGGGTTTCTCGCTAAATTGCATTCAGTTTAAACGGCTAAGATGTCTGACACATCTACTGCAGCTGCTAATTACCCCTTAGTGGCTTCAGTAGGCGTGGCAGACAACTAAGCTCAAGTTGATTGCAATTAAGCGCTAATCCCTCGGAGATAGATCGATCCACAGTTAGTACAATAGGCTCTGGGAATGGTCCCTAAAAGACAACCATCTGTTCCATCCTTATCCCAGCCCCCTCAGAAACCCACCTCTTCCGCTGTTCCTGTCATGATGAAGTTTGGAACCAAGAAGATTTTACTCCTCATAGACACCTCGGAACCATTCAGCCTGATCAGCAACACTCTGAAGTTGGTGCCCCCAAGATCCAGGGCCAAGTAGTTCCCTTCCTCTGGAAAAGAAACAACACAGTCAACATTAAATTCTCTACATCACTTTTTTTTTAATACCTTGGATTCCTTGTACAAAAATATGACTGTTTTGGTACCATACAGGTAAGTCAATGAAAACACCTGACAAAATAAATATTAAACCTACCTATTCACAATGAATAAATGAATGCATTGTCCATTGGCTAACACTTTTCATTTTTGCTTGAACTGGTTACCTGTTGCCAGCTGCAAGGCAAATTCTCTCACCCTCTACCAGGGTCAGAGAGTGAATTTTTATCACTAGATATTAACAGATATTTCTCTGGCTAGTCACGCACTGTGAATTTTTGCACAAAAAATGATGTCATCACCCAGCTAGCCTTTGGTAGAGAGTTAAATTCTGTTACACACAGTCATTGAATTGATATGGAATCTCTGCACAGGTGAAATTAAATTCTGCAAGGCATATCCAGAGTTTTAATGCTTCTCATCTATTTCTTTAAAACTGGGTTCCCATACCTAGATCAATATAACTGGATCGATCCATCTCCAAGGGATTTCTCCCTAAATTGCTTTCAGCTTAAGCGGCTTAGATGTCTTACACGCCTACTGAAGCAGCTACACAATAATTAATTACCCCCTAGCAGCTTCAGAAGGCGTGACAGACATCTACGCTGCTTACATTGATTGCAATTTAGCAAGAATCCCCTTGGAGATAGATTAATCCACAGTTAGTACGACAGGGCCTGGGAATGGTCCCTAAATGTAAGCCAAGGAGCTTTGGTATTTACAGATAAAGGTAGATTTTAAGATGAGTAGAACATAAAACAAACATTCAGACAACACACTGCCACTTAGTATCATGGGTCCATAATAATTAAATATGACATGAGAATCCTAAATTTCCGCCTGTAAAATTCCTGCAAGACATAATTTCCCCACCATAACTCCAAGCCAGTTGATGGTCTTGCAGTTATATTTCAGACAGATAGTACTCTGAAGATAACATCTGCCTATCTGGCCTGTACCTCAATGAGGTCACCTTTCCACAGATACTGATCATGATCAGAACGTGAATGACTGCTACTGCAGAGCATACTTACTATATATGCTATAGTGATATAAAACTGACAGTTGGCTGGGATAGTAGTGCTGACAATAGTGATATAAAACTGACAATTGACTGGGATAGTAGTACTGACAATGGTGATATAAAACTGACAATTGACAGGGATAGTAGTGCTAACAATAGTGACATAAAACTGACAGTTGACTGGGACAGTGGTGCTGACAATAGTGATATAAAACTGACAGTTGACAGCAACAATGATGCTGACAATAGTGATATAAAACTGACAGTTGACTGGGACAGTAGTGCTGACAATAGTGATATAAAACTGACAGTTGACTGG